AATAGAATTCCAGGAGGTTGCAGGAAAAGGGAAATTATCAAAAGAATTGATAGGGTTTTGAGTTTACTGTTGACTTCGAAGATGCAGTGGGATGCCGAGGGTGGGAGATGGGTTGCGTGACAGGGCGGCACACTGAGTACATGAACCCTGTTGCCTTCTTCCAGGGGTTAACTCTCGCTGCCCTAGCCCTGAGACCCAGGAGCTCCATTGACGCGTGGGCGGCGGGGTACCTTGCTCCGGGAGCCTGGCACGCTCAGCGCTAGCTCGTGTAGCAGCTCCCGGGGAGGCTCTTTGAGATACCACCACTGAATTTCCAGCGAATACGATGTGGCTCCGCTGGCCCGGAACGCGCAGGGCATTTCGATGTCGTCTCCCTCCCGTACTGTCACATCTTTGGGGACTTCGGTGAATGTAGCTGGGGGCGGGGGAGAGAGAGGCGTGACCAGCTGTAGGGCGGGGGCTTGGGGTAACCCGAGGCGAGGCGGTAGGTTCCCCCGCTCGCTCACTGGCCTTGGGCTCCCCACCCCCCCAGTTACTTCGTGGCCCACGGCCGGAGGCGCTAGCAAAGTTCAGTCCAGCAGCTGCAGGGCGGCAGCAGGGACTGGCCGCCGGCCGCAGGCTGCTTCGCTCCAGATCCGGTGGGACAGCAGGGGCGATTCACGCTTCTCGCCAGCTCTGGGCCGCACCATCAGAGCCAGGCTGGGTGCGTTAACTCTCGCTCCCCGCAGGCCTCCTCTCAGTAGCCGGATCCCGGCCGGACTCGGAACGACTCCCGCGCGGACGCCGCGGCTGCCGCGACCCTTCGCTGCTTTCCTCCCCCTACCCCTCCGGGCCCGGACTGCACACAGGGATTACTGGAGACCGTGAATGCTTCCCCTTTTCTTCCTCTTTCTCCTTCATGGCAGCCGGGGAAGGCTGGCTCCGGTGGACCCAGCAAAGAATTCCCCGAGCCCACCGCGGCAGCGAAGTTCCCGCGCTCACCGTTGGCCACGAAGAGCAGCAGGGCGTGCAGCAGCAAAGGCGGCAGGTATCCGAGGGCACCGAGCCGGTTCCGCTGTTCCATCTCCCGCAGGGGGCGCGGCGGCGGCGGGGGCCCGGGCGCGGAGAGGCAGCGGTAGCAGCAGCGTGAGCTCGGCTCCGGCTTGGGCTAGGACGCCTCGGAGCCTGCCATGGCCCCGCACGGCGCTCCCTCCCCTGGCCGCCGGCGGCCGCCAATCAGCCCCTCTCCCTTGCCGGCTTGCCCAGCGCTGCTGCGGCTGGGGGCGCTGCGCGGGGTGGGCAGGAGGTGAGGTCCCGCCGCCGGAAGGCTACTGGCGATCTGTCAGTGTTTCTCTCTGTCGGAGGTCCACAGGATGATGGGGATGTGCGATTCAGTCTCTGCCCGGCTGGCCGGGCAGGGGCCGGGCTGCGCCAGTACCCATCCCTGGCCAAGGGAGTGCGCGCCTCAGAGCAGAGAGCTTCTGCCTCCGGGTCTCCTGGTTCAGCTCCGACTGCCACCTCCTCCAGCCCTCGCCCACTTCTCCCGCCGCCGCCCCCGCTGGTTTCTCCGCGACTCTTTCCGCAAGGCGAGTGGGCGCTCAGCCGTGGCGCGCAGACCTGGCGTCCGACCCAGCGCCGCGCGAGGAGAGCGGGTCCGGCGTGGCGGACCCGGAGCCGGAGAGAGGCGGGGAGAGGGGGGAGGGGAGGACAGGGAGGGGGCGGTCAGTGGCTGGGCGCCGAGCCGGAGCCGCCTCCACCGCTGCATCACCCCGCCCTCCCCTCCTCTGCCACAGCTCACACTGCCCCCCACCCCCCCCGCCCTGGAGCGCACCCTCTCCCTCATCGGGGGTCGCTCAGAGGGACCACCATCTCTCAGGTTGGAGCGCAGCCCCGCCCCACACCCGCTTTGCTTGGGGGTCCTCCCACCCAAACTCTCCCAGGTTTCTTCCCAGTCTCCATCCCTCGAGACGGTCGCTCATCCCTGTTTCCTATGTGTCCCTCGGCCCTTTCTGCAGCCCCCAGGCCTCAACTCCTTACCCCAGTTTGGGCAATGAGCTGCACCACTCTTTGGCCCAGGCCCGGGACATGGCGGGTGGGTGGGCGCCGGGGGCCTGGGAGAAGGGCGGAGCGCTGTGCCGGACAGGGGATGAGGCCGGGTGACGGCGGCGACGCCGAGAGTCTGCAGTGTGTGAGCGAGAGTGAGCGCACAGCGCCGGGCGAGCAGGTGCCTGTGGCGCGGAGAGCGCACCAGCGAGCCAGCAAGCAGCGGCCGTGAGTGACGGCAGAGGCGGCGGGGGTGGGGTGGGGTAGGGAGCGCCGGGCACGACTCAGGGCTCGGGAGGTTTCTGGGCGGGGGCGGGGTTCTTGTCCCTCGATAGCCTGTCCCTGCGTACCCGCACGTTCCTAGCCAGCGGTTACCCCCTCTTTACTCAGTGCAAAGGGAGATCCGGGCGACGGGAGGCAGAGGTCGAGTCCACAGCCGCTATCCGGGGGCCCATCCCCCGCTCTTGCAGCCCCTGCATCCCGGTCTCCCCCAGACTTCATCCGAGCCTGCCATCTCCTCAGACATCTGAGGGAGTGCGGTCTGGTCCCCGAAAGGAAATATAGGGCTGACATATGGTTGGGACCGGGTACATAGTCCCGGGTCTATGGGTCTATTCTCCTTCCTCTTGGGAGTCCCTAGCCAGTGGATTTCAGTTTCTGTGTCAATGCCCCAGCCCTGTCCTGCAGCCCTGACCCGAGGTTGGGGTGCAGCAACCTAGTGGATTCTGTATCTGCTTTTCCTACTCACTAGCCTCCGGGAGGCACCGCCAGAGGGTTCCCAGAGAGCCAAGGAGAAGGAAACCAGAGGGAAAATACTTCCAGCAGCCACCCTGGTCCTGGCTGTCAGGGGCACAGCCTCCAAGAGGAAGAAGCTGCAAGCTCTTTCTAAGCCTTGTCCTTGCCAGAGGGGTGCCCCTGGGCACCGCCCTGCCTCCTTCCTGGGCCTGGGTTTCAGTTTCCTCATCTATGGCCAAGGAGTCATTTCTATACCCCGGGTCACTGTTGCTCATCTATTAAGGCCTTGGTTACCAAAGTCCCTCCTAGGGTCTCCAAAGATGCAGTTGCTAGCTCCTTCTGTCACTGTGCCACTTACCAGCTTTCCCTTGGAAATTCCATTTGCCCCTAGAAACCACTATGGATTGATGAATGTTAGACCCTGCAGGGCCCATTGCTGTCCTCAGCTTCTGAAGGGAGGGGGCAGACTTGCACTGTGCCACACAGATTCAGGACCATAGTGGAATTCTAGGAAAGCAGATTTCATTTGGGGACTAATTACAAACAGGATTCCCATGGCAAGAGCTAGCCCACAGTGCGGTGGCTTGCCTGAAGGAGCAGCAGTCTCCTCTCCAGATCCAAGCAGGACCCCTCCAGGCAAGGACTGATGACCAGTGATCAGGGATGTGCAAGGGGAGAATTCCTGCAGCTAGAGGGAGTCACGTCTTGATTACCTTTAGGGTTTGTGGATCTTCTATGTCTGTATCACCTTGTGGGGTAAGTTGTTTCTTGCCCATGGCATGACGGGGTTATTTTTATTAGTAAGAGTAAGAGCCATATATTATCACATGGTTTTCATGTAGCAGACAACTGGCTACTCACTTTCCACGCTTCGGTTCTCAACAGGACAACTGATATCCTTCTCAAACAGAAATCACATTACTTTCCCATGCTCAAAACCCTTCAGTGGTTCCTATTTCACTTGGCATAAATACCAGTGGCTTGACAAGGTCAAGTGATTCACCTTTCCGATCCCTGCTTTCTCCTCTGCCTTCACCTCTTTGTGTTTTCTATCCTCTCTCTGGTTCACACTTCTCTCACCACATTGTCTTCCTTTCTGTAATGCAATATACTGGGTATGCTCCCACCCCAGGGTCTTTGCACCAGCTATACCATCTGGCTTGGATGCCCCTCCTCCAACCACCTGCTTGGCTAACCCCATTATGTTCTGTTTTTTTTTTTTTTTTCAGAAAGTCACCTTCTCAATGAGGCCCCACCTGGGCTACATATTTAATATTGCAATCTGTAGCTCCCTGCCCAGCAGTCCCAACTTCTCACCCACATCTCCCTCTTCACCTTCCAAAGTATTGTACATTCATTGTGTTTCTTGTTCAAGGTTTATAAAACTCTTTGCTTTGTTCCCTGATGCATCTCCAAGCCCCTACAACAGGGCCTGGCACAGAATAGATGCTCAGTAAATACTTGTGGAGTGCATGAATGGGGTTGTCATTTTATCCCAGTAACAACTCTATAGGGGAGACATTGTGATTTCACCTAATTTTATGGGTGATGCGGCTGAAGCTCAGAGAGCTTATGAAAATTCCCTGAGTTCACACAACTAGTAAGGGCCAAGTGAGACTTCCACCCAGGTCTGTTTTACTCTGAGCTCCTTGTTCTTAACCAAAAACACCCAGCTCTTCCCTACTGCAGGTAGGGCTCTGGTCCTCATACCTGGAGTTGGTGAAGAGAGCAGGCTTCCTGCCTTGGACTGAGGGCAGTCAGGGGCATCCTGATAGAGCCTTGCAGTCTCTTCCCTGACCATTCAGCTGTATGGAAAGGGGCTGTTTGCTCTTTTGTCCCCTCTTGTAACCTGTGCAGGCAGCTGTTGGATCTTCTTCTCTGTGTTCTTAACTCCTATCTGAGTCTGATCCATCTTTAGACCCAGTAAATGTTTAAACTAGGAGTACTGTTAGGGGTGTTGGGGAAGGGGCACTTTATCCCCTTTTGCTAGGGTTTCCTGTGGGCAGGGCAGGGATTTTGACTCAGTCCTTTCACCAGTTGGAGGATCAGGAAACTGAAACCAGGCCGTGGTTCCCATTGGACCTTGCCGGTGCCTGGCCACCCACTCCCTGGGAGGAGCTGGCTCCCTCTTCACACATCCTGGTGGTCTCTCAGCTGGAGGTTCTAGAAGGTGTCTGTGGTGGAGTGTTGCTTCTCCCAAAGGGATGCTTCTCTCTGGGGACAGAGCTATTCAGCCCTACCAACTGCAAATGTCCTTTGGACTCCCACAGAGATACCCTGTTTAGAGTGAATCTTGCTTTCCAGAAGTGAAGCGGGTTTTCTGCTGATAGACTTGTGAGCACAGTTCACAACTATCCTGTTTCCAGACCTGATTGCTCATCAGTGGGTGGTGACAAGCATTTATCCTCCTTCTCTCCCTCCAAGCACAGCTCTGAAATGCCTGTGGGATCACTGTGTAAAGGGACCTGGTAGTGAATACTCCTGTAATGTGACCAGTGGGGTATTTGTTTATCTGGCCCAGGTTTGGGCTTGCTCCTGTCATGCCCTGGTTTCCATGTGCCCAGTCTCAGTGCCCTGTCACTTTCCTGCCATCACCCACTGCTCTTGTTGGGCTTGGAGTTGGGATGCGTGGCGCTTGTCAATATCATTTTGTGGACGGTTTCGCAGGGCTCTCAGAGGTACCTCAAATAGCACTATTTAGAAAAAGCCTGCCCAGTCACTTGTGAAAGCGCCCTTAAATTACAGCCCTAAGTGAAGATGTCGTTCCTTGGAACTCACTTTCAAAATTTATTTATTTTAATGCTCAGGTCCTCTTGGAGTTGGGGTTTCGATATTCTTGTCTCGGCTGACCTTTCCCGTCCTCCCTGTACCACGTACAGCAACATTGATTTTGGGTAATGTATTTTGATTTTAAGATGCAGCCCATCCATAAACTTTTCTATCAATAATCCCAGCGCACTCTGTGTACCCGACAGCTTAAAGCAAAATATCAGATTTATAGGACTTTTATTTTTGGCCAATTTAGTCACTCACTTGCCATCAGTGTCAGGGGATAAAGGCCTGGAGTCTGGCAGCAGGAAGACTGCCCTCCAAGGGCACATGTCAGGTCAGTGAGGGATTGGGTGGGAGGGCAGGCCTTCTCGGTGCCCTGTAAAAACTGCTGGGGATTGATAAGGAAGAGATGGCAGAGTGCTCCTGAGTCGGGGGAGGGCAAGTGACAGGGCTCATATTGGGTTCCTTTTGCCTTCTTTGGTCCCACCTGTCACCAGCTTGGAGTGCCAAGCTGGGTTCTAGCCCCTGTATAGCAGAGACAGGAGAGGGCTCCTCTGTTCTCATCAGGGTTTAGGGCCTGGCCGTGTTTGTGTGCCCTCGGCAACGCGGGCCTGGCTCTCATCTCAGTCAGCCTGGGCTCAGCTGGCTCAGGGAGGAGACCCACAGCTGCCAGGCCCCAGGATCTGGCCTGTCGTCATTTTCATTGCCTTGTCAGTGTCCCCTCCCTGAGTCCCCAGAGCCTGGGGCTGTGTTTGCTTGTCAGAATCAGGATTGATTGGGCTTGGGAATTGTCTAGAGAAGGGAAATGAAGAGGGAGAAGCTCCAGGCAGAGCCTGTTTCACTTCAGACATTCATTCAAGCCAACGCGTCCTGAGCGCCTGATTCCTCATTGGCCAGCACATACCTATGGCCACCTACTCTATGGTGTACCCAGTGCTGGGGCTTTTGTAGTGAGCCAGGGAAATTTTCTGCTTGCCGAGAACCTGCATTAAGCCAGAGAAGGGGAAGAGAAAGACCCTCAAAGAGGAAACCAAAACAGCCTGATCATTTCATCCAGTGATGGGTAACATCACCCAGCCCCCCTCCCTCTGCACTTAGTGATCAGGGGGAGATCTGAGGGGGGTCAGCCAGGCAGAGACATGGGAGAAGAAGAGGGCTTAGCATCAGGTGCAGCAAGTGCCAAGGTTAGGGTAGAGAGTAAATGTGGTAGAACATACTGAGTTTCAGAGGCATGGTGAGGTGAGGCAGGGACAGTACATTGGGGCTGGGTGGCTAACATAAGGATTTCTGTGCCAAGAAGAGAGAGGCTCAGATTGAACAAGATATGGCCCTGGTCATGGTGCATGGAGCCTAGTGGGTGAGCAAATCCAGCACTCAATGATCCAGCCCCTAGCGAGAGACCTTCAGGGAGGAAAGAGGTAGATCCTATCCAGGAAGGTTGCCTGACTTCAAGCTGAGTCCTGAACACACAGGAGAAGGTGATTGGCTTAGCTGGGGTGGGGTCAGTGTGTGTCAGCATCTCAAATAAGCAGCTGATTGTACAATCCTGTGGAAGTAGGAGATCTGGGGTTGTGGCAGGGACAGAAAGAAAAGTCTAGGATGACAGGATCATCAGTGGAGTTGAGGGACAGGATAGGCTAAGACTTTGAACTCATTGCTGAGGAGGTCTTGATGATCTGCAGGGTGGGGTGAGTTTGGAAGCAAGGAAACTGGCCATCCCATCCAAGGTGCAAGACTGAGGCTAGGAGCCCAGAGCAGAGGCAAGGTGGTTGCCACAGACACCTCCTTATGTGGACCCTGCTCTGAGAAATGTCCTCACCTGTCACCTTTTTCCGTTCTCTGTTCTCTTTGACCTTGAGAGCTGGCACTCACAAATAGCAGCACACCCAGCACAATTTAAGTGTGAAGGTTTGGGGGTGAGCCCCATGGTGCCCAAGTTTGGCGGTGCTCAAGTCTTTGCCTTATCCTTCCTGGTTCCTCAAAATTCTGGATTTAGTTGGGAAAACATCAACAATGATTCTGATGAGTGTCATCTGAGCAAGGTCTTGTTTCCATGGCCTGGGTTGTCTGTGGCTCATGGGACAATTAAGTAAAAAGTAAAGTGAAACAAAGCAGAACAAGGTGGTGTCCAGAGCTCTAGAGTCGGATGGACCTGGTTTCAGATCCTGGCCTTGTCTTGGCCTTTCAGAGCCTCAGCTTTCACATCTGTAGGAAGGGTGTGCTAACATTGTTGAGTGCAAAGGGTGGACAGGAGGATCGACTTTGAGAGCAGCTTGATTAGCAGCTGGGGTGTAGTACTAGCAGCAGCAGCACACATTTTAAAGCACATGTGTTTGCTGCCTTTGGTGTTGTGAGGATGGAGGATGGGCATTTGGGGGCCCTTTCTGCCTGCCTTTGCACCTGGGTGCTGGGGAGGGAAGGTGCTATAGAGAGGAGAAGGGGAGTCAGAACTTGGAGGTGATCAATGGAGCTGTGCATCCCCTAATGGATTTTATTACTGTGTGTGTGTGTGTGTGTTATTTAATCATTTGCCAGAATAAATCTTACAGACCCATGGAGAGTTTATTTTATTTTTATTTTTAATATTCTCAATACACTCGGGGTTTTATTTCCCACTAGATCTATTAGTTTAATTTAGTAGAGGACAGTCTGTATACTTAACCAAAAATTGCTTTGACATTATGGAGAATTAAGAGGCTGGGGCCAGATGGATCTGAGCAGATCGATCTGTTTGAGATAAACTCTGTTATTTCCCCATGTGCTTTCTTCACCTTAATGGCAAGGACGGTGATTGGAAAACACAAAGCTGGCTATTAATGACTAGGGGTCAGCCAGAGGGTCAGGGCTCTTGCTCTCATGCTTTCTCCAGACCTCCTTCAGGACACTGTCTGATGATTCCGGTGGAGATGCTTTTGGGGGGGATAGAGGCATCTATGGTTCCCCTCGATCCTCGTGTTTACTCCTGCTGATCTTGGTCTCTCTGGGACTGACTGGCTTCCTGAAAATTCAGCCTCAATCCATCAAGGGACCAGTGTGAGCACAAGGTCTGGGGCATGGTGCTATGGAGGTAGCAGTGTGTGTGTGTGTGTGGGTGGGTGGTGGTGGGGGAAGTCCAAGCTTAGGGATGGGTGCTGCTATTGAGGGATCTTCACTGAGTCTCCACTATGCTGAACTCAGCTCCTCCTGTTGGAGGGCACCAGGACCTTACCTCCCAGGGCTGGTATGGGGTCAATGAGCTGATGTCCCGAAAGTGACTTTGTAAATCAACATGAGGTAGACTTATGTCAATGATTATGGTCTGGTGTCCCTTGCATTTCTGGATTCTAGAAGTGGCTCAGGAAATGCCAATCACATTGAGGATTCAGGACCTCAAGACTCTGGCATCCCTCTGTAACTTTGTGGGCCACCATGGTAGGTTTCTGACCAGAGCACCCTAACAGGATGACAGGCACTGTGGGACACAAGAGGCTCTGGGGCACTCGATAACTCATCTCCGTGCCCCAGTGGTGGCTCCAGAGGTGAAAGCAAAGTAGATAGATCCTTGGTCCCATCAGTACTGTCCTGGGCTGAGGAGCTCCTGCAGTTCCAGCAGAAGACTCATCTCTGGCTCCACCTAGGAGTTTCAAGGTTGGGTTCTGGAGTCTGTCTCTAGTCCCAGATGGTCCATCCTGTCAGGCCAGCCCTGGACAGATGGCCTGTTCACCCAGCACTGTGACTAACTCTGCCCAGCTGGAGTCTATTTTTCCTCTAGGAAATCTTCCACATGATCTCTTTCTCCCTCCACATTTGTCTGCCTTTTGTTGTTGTTATTGTTGGTGTTGTTCCCATACTCAGGGTGGCCCTCAGGTATGACTTTAAGCTCTTGTCCCAGGAGAGCTCAGTCTTACTTTCATTTCACAGTTCAACTTCCAGGAAGAGGTGGTGACTATGGGGACTCTGTGTTGGGTTCTCTGAGACCACATCAGGTGATTAGTGATGTCTGCCGTTGGCATGGGGCAGGGGTGAAGAGGAAAGTGGCAGGATTTGCCACCTCCACAGTGGCTTCCTGGGCCTCCTTGGGAACTGGACAGGGCTTCCACCTTCTAGGCTTCTCGTGCTTTCCTCTCAAGGCCAGCATAGGGCTAGCTCCGTATGCACAGGTAGATCTGTGCCTGGAGTTGGCAGACTTGAGGAGACTCTCACTGTTCACCTTCAGTGTAGAGGCGGGTGTTTGGGAGGGAGGACTGGCTCCTGGCAGTGCCTTATTTCAGCCCAACTCCCTGCTTCTGCCCAGGAGGGTTCACCTGGGGAAAAATGTGCACAGTCTGAATCTTTCCAGGACAGGAGCTATGCCCATGTTATCCTTGTACCTACCTGGACACCTTGTCTGGCATGTGGCAAATGCTCAATGGGTGCTGGGTGGCAGGAAGCCAAGGCAATTATACGACTTTCAGTGAATTCCCAGGTCCCAGCCATTCTCTAAAAGTAACCTTGGTCTTTCCTGGTCCTGTCCTGGGTGCTGGCTGTGGAGCTATAGTATGGGGTCAGAAGGTAGGGACGAGCTCCTGATTTAAGATCATCTTTAGCTTCAGAACCCCGTTAGGTCTGGGCCACCCTGAAGGTCAGTTCATTACCCCTGCTTCAATATAAATGTGCAAATGTGTAGACAGGGTACAAAATGGACAGGGTGTTCCTATGGGGACTCCCATCCCGGTCTGAGTAGGCTGAATTCTGCCATCTAAACTCTTGCTCCCCTTGGCTCTGATGCTGAGGTCTGGGAGTGGCTCTCTGGCACTACCATGACCTTCACGCCTGACTTGCCCCTTTAGAGTTCCTCCTGCCGATAGACTGGCAGCTGCCAGCGCTGCTAGGTTTGTGAAATGTCAGTGGTTTAATATCAATTCTGGAGGTTTTATTGCCTTCCCCCCCCGGTTTTCCGATGGGATTTTGATCCAATCAAGGCCAATCCAGAGTGATGGTAGATTTGTGTTCCTGTCCGAAGTTGACAAAAGGTCACCCTGCCTGAGGAACGGCCGGCTGCCACGGCCATGCACACATGGGATTTCTCTGCTGCCCCAGCTCTCTGGAGGCAGGCCCACTTTCTCCCAGGAGTGCAATGTCAGGTGGACACAGTGCTGCGCCC